ACTATCTGAAACATAAATATTTTATGAATTGAAGAACAATAGAATTGGTAAGATTATAGATGTCAGAGCATATGTAAATGAGCGATTGAAATCTGAAAGGACTCGCAGGAATATATGATCTACTTTACAAAGACAACCAAGAATGATAGGCATGTGATCTGAAACCAATTGAGGTCATTTAGAAACTTCTCCCCCCACCCCAGACAAAAGACATTATAGAATCAAGGTGAATGTTACCAAAATTCCTGATTTCTTAGGAATTACTGGTTTATTTGAAGAGACAGTAATGACTGCTCAGATTAAGAAGACAGCATTTGCTTCCACAACTTTACCACAGCCTGACATCAAGTTTCAGGCCAAGTTGAGGGTTTTCTTTTCTTTTTTTTTTTTTTAGTTTATTTATTTATTTTGAAAGAGAGAGAGACAGAGAGAGAGCACGCAAGTACAAGAGCAGGGAAGGGGCAGAGAGAGAAGGAGAGAAAATTCCAAGCAGACTCCATGTTGTCAGTGCAGAGCCTGATGAGGGCTCCATCCCAAGAACCATGAGATCATGACCTGATCCAAAATTGAGAGTCAGGCACTCAACTTACTGAGCCACCCAGTCGCTCCCAAGTTGAGGGTTTTCTCACGAAAATATTCTTAGTCTCTGTAGATAACCAGATCTATTAGAGATTCTGTAGTACCTAGCATCGGTGTAAGAATTCAGAAACATGGAATGGAGATATTTATAAGTATGGTTGACCATTGCAGATAAGTCCATATTAGTATTTTCTACACTGAGATACAAGAGAAATGGAAAGTATTATTATTCTTTGACTGCTTAACAGTGTTAATGGACTGCACCATTGCATTTGCACTGGTTGAAAACATTTTTCTTCTGTTTTTGCTTAATAATTTATGTTTTTTTACATAAAGTGGCCTTTCTGTATTCTTTCTAATTATGTAGTTTACTTATTAAGTGTCAACTATACTAGACCCAGGGTGTGAGGCAGAGAAGACAAAGAGAGAACCTTGCTTTTGGACGGATTGTGATTTCAGATAGAATGAGCTAGCAATCAGAGTGTCCATGATTGTTTTGGCAAAAGATATCACAAGTAAAGCTAGTGGTCTCTTGAGGGTGTTTGAGAAATATCTATTGAGTTGTATAGGTTAACTAAGGATCACATAAAGCCATTATTTCCTGTCAAATATTTTAGTTACTTGGTGTTTCTTAAAAACTGTATTAGGACCAAAAAGGCAGGAGGCAAACCTCTGTGTATCCCAAGTTATGAGGTGAAGGAAGCATTTTGGCCTTGTGCACATCATCTGCCAGATAACCAGTAATAGAAGCAGATTTCTATTAAGGATTTCTACTTAAATTCTGTAAAAAAATTCCTGAAAAATTTCCAATGTTTAGCAAATAACAATTAATTGTAAATATTTCAAAGTGCATAACTCCTCTTAGTTCTTCTCTTTATTAGTTTACTCTTCCCTGTTTTTATTTAAGAAACATAAAATACTTGTGTATAGTTTTCATGCATATATTTTCCTGATCTCAAACTTTCTAGTTCTACTTTTTATAAAGTCACAAATGTTTTGAGATTTTAATACTACTATAATGCAACATTTAGTAGGATAAACCTGATAGTTGGAGAGGCATGATGTTTTTGTATTTATTTACATTTTTTTCACTTCAGGTCAGGATTCGACATGTAAAAAAATCACAATCTCTTTTTACCTTGAATTTTTGTTTAATTATTTTAATAGACAGTATTATTGGTAAAACTGCCTAAAAAAAGTCACCTTAGCTGGTGTAGGAACAGAGATCTACAGTATTTAATTCAATAGAAAAGCCCTTGATCAGGGTAATAATTACACCTATGAAATTATGCCATGTGATTGGCAGTGACACTAAAACAGTGACATACCCTTTCCCTTACATAGCTCCAAATAGAATGTCCCTGGTGTCTATATTTTAAGCGAAAGGTATGGGCAAAGTCAGAGGTGTAAATATTGGACTTGAAGTTTCTAATAAGTTCTGTCTTGCCCCAAATTATTATTTTTAAAAAATATTTTTTAATGTTTATTTATTTTTGAGACACAGAGCAGAGCGGGAGTGGGGAAGGGGCAGAGAGAGAGGGAGACATAGAATTTGAAGCAGGCTCCAGGCTCTGAGCTGTCAGCACAGAGCCTGATACAGGGCTGGAACTCACGCCCCGTGAGATCATGACCTGAGGTGAAGTCAGACTCTTCACCGGCAGAACCTCCCAGTTACCCCATGTCTTGCCCCAAATTATTAACAGAAAACAAGTGAGTCAAATATCAGTCCATATAGTGCACTATTAATGGGAATGAAAATTCACCCATTGTCTTTCTGTTTTCTCCAGCACAATCCTTAAATCCACATTTCCAAAATGTTGCTTGCCTGAGGCATTAGGAGTTTGAATTACTGGCTGAGTATCAGGTCACATAGACCTCAGATAGAAATTTCTGTTGTTTATTCAGGAAATGAAAGAGATTTGTTGAAATATGGAAATTACAGTCTGTCATTTGCAGGAAAGTCTCTTTGTTTTAGGCATGCTGAAGAAATATGCAAGTGCTATAAACAACTTAACACTAAAATATTTTCAATGCCACAATTCAGAGAAATAATAAAATGTAATTGATAGGCTTAGAGATCATGAAGGAGCTGTTGTTTGTTGACGAGTTTTTGCACCACAACGTTCTATTACTGAAATAATTTACTTTTATATCTGGTGCTGATATTGGAATCTGTACTTTTTTGGTATAAAATAACTTTAGGCATTTTAAATATACTTTATGTTCAAGTAAAAACCAGAGAAGGAAGCTTTGGTGTTCTTAAACCACTCTGGATATCTTATATTTCCTTCTGTTCAAAGAGTGCACCACAATCATTCAATACACAAGGAGAGAAATCTTGTGCTCAAATACTCCTAGGCGGTGGTGAGAACACACAGCCAAGCTGAAGGGCTTCCCAGATCTGAGCAGTGTGTTGCGCTTCTTGGCTGATGGATGCCGACACACATCGCTCCCTAAATCACTCCTACTTTAATATCCAGGCCCTGCTGAAGGGACTGGACTGATGTGAGCCTGAATCCAAGCCTGCCCTTGTTGGATTTCATTCAGCTGGAAAAATGAACATGTAACAGCCACTGGGAATGGACTTTGCTTATATGGGAAGTCCTCCCAGCCACTGCTTTAACTCTGGTGACCTTTTCTCCAACACTTAAGACTGCAAGGAACTTGGGCGATGTGGGAGAGGGGGGAAAAAAAACAGTTTTTAGAATTTTGGTTGGCAGAGCCACAAGCTACTGAGACCATATGAATTTTGCAACAAAAGGCCAACTCAGATTGCCAAGGCTTACTCCTTCTTTAGATATAGATAGCCTACCTAGTGATCCTTGTGCTCTTTCTTTTGTTTTAAGAATATTTAAGATCGTGGTGGTACACCTGCTCACATGCTTTTTCTTCCCCTAAGTTAACATGTTCCTCCAACGTTTTAACTCCAGTGGTGACAAGATCTACCTCTCCTTTTAAGATGCCTTCATGTTACTGAAGACTAGATGCTTACTTTGGGTTAGCTAATTGTTGGTCTGTAAACTTTCAACATTTCTCATTTTACCCAAAGTGAAAAATAAAACCTCCGTGGGAAGCTAGCACATACTTAGGAAAATGATTGGTTTCTTGCTTGTCAGCACTTTGGGAGGTGGGGTACAAACAAAGCTTTGCCTTTCACTGGAAACTGAATTCTTGTTTGGCTCCTGGCCCACTCTACAGATAACCAAACAGAGGCAAACACACCACGTCCCAGCACAAATCAGGGATATGCAAAGTCTGCAATAGAAGACAAGAATATGTCATTCCCTGTCACAACTCTGCAGTGCTCATTATTTTCAGTTTTCCCAGCTGAGTATATAGAAGCATCAGTTAAAGAGTATTCTGTATATTTAGCTCTGTTGGGAAGTCTCTAGATAGAATTGAACACCACTTTTAGGAAGTAAATGCTTTTATTACTGTTTATACCGCAAACTAGAATTCCCAACACTTAAACAATATGGAAGCTGTGGCTGCTGTTTTCTTGGAAGTAAATTCTTTATTTCTCAACCCTAATTTATTACAAAATGAGTTTGGGTCATTAGAGAAAATCAGGAATTATTTTAAATCCTGAAAGTAAATGCTTCTTCAGAGAAATTTGTTCTTTTGTCAGTTTGCTACACAAATGGCTTCTAACCCTGCTTTGTTAGATTTAAAACATCTTTTTTTTTCTCTCGTTCTCTTGGTAGAACGTTTTGAGGGGAACCGAGGCTGGCTTCCATATTATTCAATCTGATGGCTCTATACATATGCATTTAACGTGCATAAATGCATACAAATGAATACATTGGTTCTAATTTATTGCTGGTACAGATTAGTTAACAAGTTTATAAGAACAGCCTTGAAACTACTGTAGGTGAAGCAGTCTCCAGTTAAGGACTGTACACAATGTCTTGTGAGACACCTTTATGTAAAGTGAAACACTTACTGTTGGTGTCGACGGAGGGCTATGCCTCTCATGTGTGGTAGCTCATCAGGTACAAAGGGGAATCAACCTCACATATTGCAGAAATATCTTGCTGCCAAATGTCTCTAATCTCTAGAGTGAGTTGGCCCTTCATCGTCCTGAAACATAACCACCTTATTAACCTCCAGTAGACAGGGTAATATTTACTCGTGTAGAGGAAAATAGAATCCTTCTGGTCATTATAGCAATCGACACTGGTAAACAGGCAAATAGGAAGATGAAGAGACTAGCTCAGAATACAATATCCCCACACTCTGTGTATAGGTCCCATGTAGATGTTGATGACTTGATTTACTTTCCATATCAAAAGCAGTATCTTTCCTGAGGCAATATTCTAGTAATTTGTAATGAGTGGAATGAACTGCAATGATGACTTCTTAAAAAAAGACATTTAGTGATTTTTACCTTAGGTCCTGAGGTGTGAAAACCCACATGAAACCAGATGGACGTTAGGTAAATATTCTTTACCAGAGGTGAGTTGAACTTAAAAGTGATTATTTCTTAATTACCAGTGTTGCTGTCTTAAATATAGCAGTGACAAGTTTAAGAGAAAATAACATCTCAGGATTAATGCTTTAAATTAACAACTCACAACTTGGTAGGCTCCAATGCAATTTATCATGTTGAAAATAGGTGAAGTTTATATTCAGGGATACCTCTTACATTTTCTAGGATTTCTTGGCCTTATTAATTCAAATCTTACTCTCAATGCATGCATGCAGCCAAGATAATTACAAGAAGGCAAGATCAAAGCCAGCATATTATAGTCCTATTCCATTTTCTGCTGATGTGAGTGATCTGCCTCTCCTTTGATGTTGTATGCTTCTACAGCGAAAGTACAGAGGATAAAAATACTACACCATGTAATCTGGCATTTATCCCATGAGAGCAGAATTCCAAATTGTGACACATGTCAAGAAGTTAAAAAAAATAACTTAAAAGAGTCCTATGCTTTATAAAGTGACATACTCTGCATTTAAACACCATCAAACATCATTTTCCATTACAAATTTAGTCCCTGATATAAAATTCAAAGAATTTTTGTAACTTTAGTAGAAGAAAATAGTTACCATATTTACTAGCAATTACATTAAACGTGTGCCTGAGCCTTTATCCCACCTAATGAGGGCAGTTGAGAGGAAGCAGACGCACAGTGTACACACATATTTGTGTTTGTGCATCCATTCAAGGATTCAGAGTCAGTTGTGTGTACTCTACACATCCATCCAGCTGGTTTTAGTTTGCTATGAATCTTCTATCACCTAGGGTCATGAGGTTGAACAACTGGCAGGTCCCTCAACTAGTTTTGATTAGAGAAACAGAGTTCTTGGTCTATAACATTATATTTAACTTAAATATTTTTCCTTATGTTCTATCTCTGGCAATGTACTACTGGATATAAAATGTCCCTAGTCTGACCTTCTGTTTCTAACAATATCTTTTCCTGGCCTAGTTCACCTTGTAGAAATATGTTAAAAGTGTGTGTGTGTGTGTGTGTGTGTGTGCATGTGTGCACATGTGTTTGGTTTGCTTACATTTACATGAACATAGAGACTGCAGTATTACTTCTAAATTACCTTTCCTAGGAAATTAAATTGAATTCTTGCCCTTCTGAAGGAAAATAACATTTTACAATCATTCCTAAGTTACTAGTTAATTCTAGTCCATTCCATTTTGGACTCAGACCCTTCAAGTTACCATGATCAAACATAAATGTTTTGTCAAGAAAATGGAAAATTGTTTAGACTACATGGCTGTCATCTCTAAAGCACAACACCCAATATTGAGAAAACCGATTTGATAGAACACAACATAACCTGCACACTTCACTTCAAATCAAAACCAAAACTATTTTTTATTTTGAAAAACAATGGCTTTCATCTTTCCCTTGAACTAAATATTCAAGGACTTCTGAATGCCAGAATGATTGCAAGGTATGTAATGGCAGTGTAAGAAGACCGAAACAAATATAAATATATATGATCTCTTGCTTCTCCCTTTTCCATTCTTGAAATGAGCTTCTAATATTGATGTTAAATACAATAAAGGAACAATCACAAAGTAGAGTTGAATATGCTAGAGAGAAACACCTCTGGTGATCTTTGACATGTTATAGAATATGGTGGTGCTAGAACACTAAATGTGAAGATATGTTGTGATGACTTTCGGAGACTATAAATATGATATAGATTTCTGACAAAATTTTAAAATACATTTTTAAACAAATGCTTCTGAGACAATGTGAAATAAGGGATGGGAGTTACATTTTGTCAACATGGGTTCAGTTAGAACCAATTATGTCTGTGTGATCTCAATCCCTTTAACTCTAGTGCTACAGTAAGAAAATACCCCTTTACTCCATTTATTCATTTAGTCTTGGTCTTTTGGACCCACTGTATGTCAAATTGAAAACATAAAGCCTTACTTCCTACTCACTGGGGTTTCCTTTTCCCTCACTGGTTACTTCTTTTCAGTTTCCTTTTCTAGGTCTTCCTCATTTTTCCTCACTTCCAAACACTGGATTGATTTCTCAGGTGCTAGGCATCTGGGCTCCTTAGTTTCTATATAACCTCAATTCATAAATCATCTCCCTTACTCCCAGAGCTTTAAATACCACCCAGATGCTAAAGCCTTCACATTTCTACCCTTAGCCCCAGACACCCTGTCTGAATCTAGACTCCTATGCCTAACTTCCTTCTCAATAATCTCTCTTTAGCATTTATATTTTTCTGTAGCTTAGCCTTATTGTGCCATTATTATGTTGTAGTCACTATTCTAAAGGTTTACATGTCTTAACTAATTTAATCCTCATAATAACTTCATGAAATTGGTAATATTATTATTCCCAAATTATAGGTGAGAAATGTGATATATAGTTATTTGCTCAAGTTTACACTGGTGGCAATCTATAACTCAGACTTAACATGTCCCAAATGTAACTCCTGATTTCTTCTCCACTGCTTATCCTTTTCCAGTTTCCCTCACCCATACACAACACATCCTTCCATTCTACCAGTTGCTTCAAAGTACTTGGATCAACCTAGATTTCTTTTATTGTTTTGTCCACCACATCCAAACCATCAGCAAATTTTGTCCAGTAACTGACCATATCTCAAGGCCAACATCCTCCTTCCACTTCTGGACCCCTGCAATATCCTCCTAACTAGTCATTTTGTAGCCAGATTAACCCTATTGCAACAAAAGAAAAATCTTCTATGCTCAGGGTCATCTGAGGGCTTCACATCTCAGAATAAAATGTTACATCCTCAGTGTGACCTCAAAGATCCTCATGACTTTGTCCCAAGCCACATCTCTGACTCTGCTACAACTCACTCACCTCACACTTCTCTACATCATTTCTTGAGCTGTCATTCCCAGGATCATCCTTATCAAAGTTGCTTTTCCTCATGCCCTAACTACAGTAATGCCTACCTCATCTCATCACTCTATATCCTTTTTTTTAAAGCCCTAATTTTCAAATGATGTGTTCCTTAGTATTTCTTTATAGTCCCCTTTCTCTATTATAATACAAGCTCTAGGACTTCCGCTTTTTAAATTTTCTATTATTGAGTCTTGAATGTCCAAACTTTGTTTAGCACAAATTAAATATCAATAAATATTAGGTAATTAAATGAATAAATAGGTTAAATAGTTCTGAGAATAGTCCCAAACATTCTAGTTATTATTTCTATGTAGATGTACCAAAGTATAGTAAGGCTGTATTAACCAATATCTCCCTTGTAAGTAGCCCAGACTGCACAACTATGTTCCAGAAAGTGAAAGTTTGTATGTGTCAGTTATACGTGATTTTAAAAGGAATGTATGGACCATTTTGTATAGCGAGAAGACTTCTTTAAAAAAAAGTAAAATTTGTTGTTATTTTTCCATAATAATAAATTTGTAGTTGGGAGGTAGATACTCAGGCTGACACGGCCTTACCCTCCCTTAATCACTTATTTTTTGTTTGTTTGTATTTTGTTTTGTTTTTGTTTTAGAGAGATAAACAGAACATGTTTGTGCAAATGGGGAGGGGTGGAGAGGGAGGGAGAGAGAGAATCTTAAGTAGGCTCCATGCTCACCCTGGAACCCTCTGTGAGGCTTGATCCCATGACCCTGGGATTATGATGTGAGTCAAAATCAGGAGTCAGGTGCTCAAATGACTGAACCACCCAGGCACCCCCACTTCTAAATGTACCCGTATAATGATATTCTTGCCAATAAAAGATGAGTAAAATAATTAATGTGTGTCACTTCTAGGTCTAGGACTTGAAAAATTGCTCATGCATTCGACTTTTTCCCCTTCATGTGAGTTTCAAGGTGGACATTGTCAATGTTTCAGGTTCAGCTGAATAAACTAAGGCTAGGAATGATGAAGAAGAAGAAAGGTAGAAGTAATCCATGTTCCTTAGTGGCCACTGAAGCAGATGGCTAAACTAATCTGGAATGATGAATGTAAGGAAAACAAAAATCTTTATTCTTTCTGTCTTGGGAATATATCAGTAGCTTCTATTTTTATCTTAAAGAATGCACAATTTCTTGTCATTCAACTTTCCCTTTAGTTAGAGTGTGAATTTGGAATATTGGAGCTTGAAGAGTCTTCTTGGACAATGAGGTTAAAAGCTGCATGTTGATGACATAATATCCAGATTCCTTTTATTCTTGAACACATAAGAGCCCTGAACTACTTACGTGAAAGAATCAAATAAGTAGCTTTATTTTAACTACTTTTATTTTGGATTTCAGTCACTTGAGCTGAATCTAATTTCAACTAATTGACCAGGTTGTATTCCTTACTAACTGAATCATCTGCATTCTGTCAGTTAGTATAGAGCTGGTACAGGAGCAATTTTGCACTGACCAAGAGGGCTGCTCTCAGTCTGGATACCAATACATTCTTTATTTATTATCTATGAGACTATGGCTCTTCTGCCTTCAGTCTTTCTTCATGAGCTATGATGTCACATGTACAAATGAGCGTTATACATCATTATAAACTCAAGATACAGAAGTTTTCATTAAATAGTTTCTGTATCTTGTTTGAAGAGTTGCCTATTTCTTTCCTGCGATATCCCTAGAAGATAAATTTGTTGCAGTAAGATAAAGGAAACTCTTCATTGAAAACTGCAGCAAACAATTCGGGTCAGTTTAATGTGTATTTTCCACACCCCACATTATTAGAGCAGGTCCAATTAAATTTTAGTGCCCAGAGACCATCCTTGCTATTATTTTCTTATAGAATGTGATATAATATTATCTTTGAAACAGTTTCAATTTAAATTACTACCCTCCCCATCCCATTTTGCTTTTACTGCCTTTCTGTGGAATCCCTCTGAAGATACTGAACCTGAATTGTCTCTTATCTCATGGCCTATAGTTCCAGGCCAAAATGTGGAATTTTCATATACTGGTGCAGTAGCCTTATAATCCATTCCATTTCAGAACTAATTCCTATAATTATAATAAAGGAAGAAAAATGGCAAACCGGTAACATGATATATATCTGGAATAGCCCTTCTTTTCTTACTTAGCTATCAAAAGAAAGTTTTATTCAAAAGTCCTAGGCAGTTAATCATTGAGTGTATTTTGAAAATAATAGTAATATATAATACTAATGGAGTAAAATAACTTAAGACTAATGTGGATAATAAGAACTAAGATTTTGTGGTACCGCCTTTTCTGAAATATCTTAACAGCAATTATTCCACTTGGTTTTCATAGTAGTAGTTTTTTGCAGCAGGTAGTACCATATTAAACGTTTTTTTTTTCTTTTTTTTAGATATGCAACCCAAGGCTTCTGTAACTTTAGCAAGTATGTGGCTAGCCTGTAGCAAAGGTAAGTCTACAGATTCCAGACCCTGTCATCTTCCTACTTGCCATGTAGCATATACATAAAAAAAGATTGCATTGTTGTCCTTACACACATAGAAAAATTGTACCAATTTAGGCAAAAATAGAATAGATGAGAGATAAGTCTTAATAAAACGTCTGTGCACTTCACTGGAAAACGGGCTAGTAGTAAGAACATGCTTCCCCCAGTTGAAGAAATAAAAGGTGTTAGTTAAATATCTTAACGAAGCTCAGTTTTGTTTTTCTTTTTTCTGATATGGCTTCTTTTAATTCAATATTTGGTTTTACCTTCAAAGTATCCGGTACCAGAAAACAAATCTATACTGAGAAATATTGCTTACAGTTATCATCACTATTCACATCACTCTTATGTAAAATGCTTCTATTATGTTTTAAGTCAGAGAGGCCGTGTCTTTTTATATGTTTTTTATATAACTGAAAATTTAGAATAGAAAAATCCTGATCGTTTAGCACCAGTAAAATGATGGATAATTTTCTGGTCTGTGTGCCTCTGTACTAACAATGTTGTTTTGAAAAGGACGTGCTTTTGAGAAGTCTGAGGCAGTAACCCTGGGCACCTCAGGATCCATGGGAGGCTTGCTGCCTAAATATTTTGACTGAAGTGCCTCCTCAATAAATATTTGAAAATAGTGATTTTTTTTTGTTGTGTAATAAAATTTAAGTTTTTAGCAAAACTGCCTAATCAAGTGGTAATTTTGGCACCTTGTGTAGACAGCTGTAGACATCATTTCTTTAATGATTATTCTCATGCCTAGTGAGGAGTGATTTCTTAAAGGAACACATCTGATACAAATACCTTAAATATTATCAGTAATTCAAAGGAACACAAGGAAATTTAAAAAGCAGGTCATTGAACCGCTTAGAAATCCCTGCAAATGTGTGAAAAGTATGTATTTTCTCCTCTCCCTGAATAAACTCCACAGAAACCTACATAAATGGTGCATAAAGCTTTCATGACTTAAGCCCTAGGCTACATATTTAAGTGGTCCCCACTGTATTCACATATAAACAATAGCCCTGTATATTAAGAATCACAATAATAGCAAAACAAGTATAACATTATTAGCATGATTTTATTTTTATTTTTATGGTTTCTTGACTAGTTTGACAACTACCTACTGGCTTTTAGGAAATGCCTAAAATGCCAGTTATACATACTTTATGTCGGAGAAGATAGACAGCTTTAGTTTTACTCATGGGATCATCCACAGGAAAGCTTCTCAGACAAAAATTGGGGGGTCTCAGGTTACAATGAACATTCCATATACAGGCTTCCTTGTTATCAATTAACTCAACTTACTTCTTCATCAATTTTTTCCCCCTTCAGTCTTGATGGTTTTATGACCTAGACCCAGGCAATACCCTTAGGCGGTCCATGTGATAATTGACACATTTTCTAACACGGTATAGTGATGCCCAAGTCACTGCTTTCAGGCCGTGACTTGAGCTTATTGGAGTCTGCAGCAGGGGCTCCTTTTATCCTAATACATCAGAATACACTGACAGCTCTCTCATGCAGGGACCACGCAGATCTCTCCCCCAGGAAAATACATGCAAACACCCCCGGAACATTGTAATGGTTGCTAGGCATCACAATGGTGACATCTTTATGATAAACACAGTATGCAAAAGAAGGTCTAATAAAAGAATAACAAATTATTACATGCAAAGGGCAATTTTACAAGATTAACGGGTATAATAAATTACTACTAGATCAGAATACCATATTACCTTTTAAGGTATTTCACAGTGGAGACAAAGTGAACTGGCCTATAAAAACCCAGAGATGTAGAAGAGAATAACAAACTGCTTTTCCACATTTCTGAAAGACAGTCATGATATTTGCCTTATAATATGGTGGGTTCAGCAAGTAATTATGGTGAAATAGGGTTATGCGTGCAGTTCATGCTAGATGTTTATTTTTTTTTTTCATATGGCTATTGTATCTTCAGTAACATTGCAATCTATATGCTATTAACTTATAGTTAATAGCTTGTAGGATTTTATTTCTAAAACACTTTCAATTCATAAAGTATTACATTGTAAACTCCAGGACTCACATACATTTTATAATAATTAGTAAATATATGTTTTTAACAATATAGTAGGAGTTTTGTAGGAATGAATTTCTTCCCTTGATGATTTTGATCAGATGTTCAAAAAAGTAAAAGAAAAATGTTTCTAGATTTTCATATTTAATTTCCACTTCCCTTTTATTTTGAAAAAATAACCAATGCTTCTTACTTTTTCTTGACTGTTCCTATATTTAAAAAGTGACAAAAAATTCTATTACTTGAACATTGGAGACGTGACATTTGCAATATATAGAATTATTATCTTATTTCATTAAAAGAATGATAGCCGTTTAGACATTTCCCATGGTGAGTCTAGTCCTTTTCAAGAAATTAGAAAATTAAAATAAAGGATAGAGGTGATGGAGGAGAGTATAAAGGAGAAAAGGACAGAGGGAATAGAGAGAAAGAAGAGAAAAAAGAAGAAAGGAAAGATGGAAAGAGGGAGGGAGGAAAAGAGGAAGGAAAGAAAGGAAGGAGAGATGAAGGAATGAAGGAAAGCCATTAGATATTTCAAATCTGATTACCTTCCCAAACATTCTGATACTGAGAGTTGAACATTTGAGTTACTATTAAAATATTTTTAAATAGCTGCTTTAAGTTATGATTCATTAAATATAAATAATGCAACCAAAATTATTGGTTATTACTTTGAGCTATTGGTTACTATTATGGGTGAGTCACTGGACTCAAGCTTGATCTGAGTAAACGTCACAGTAAAAACAACAACAAAAAAACAAAAACAAAAAACAAAAACAGCCTTCACATTCCTTTTATCCTTTTTGTTACCATTCATTAATACTTGAGATCAAGAGTACACTATTTATCTCTTTCCTACCACCTTTTAGCTCTTTTTTTTTTTAATATTTTTATTTATTTCTAGGAGAGAGAGAGAGCATGAGCAGGGGAGGGTCAGAGAGAGAGGGAGACACAGACTCTGAAATAGGCTTCAGGCTCTGAGCTGGCAGTCAGCACAGAGCCCGACGCGGGGCTCGAACCCACGAACCGCGAGATCCTGACCTAAGCGAAAGTCAGACACCCAACCGACTAAGCCACCCAGGTGCCCCGACCTTTTAGCTCTTTCTACTGTGGCTGCCATGTAATGGTAGCTCACATGTAGGTGAAAGTATAAAGAGAACAGTTTTTCAATAGCGTCACACTTCAAGTGCTTTCTACAGGGATGCTCCTCACCAGATCAGAGTAATCAATACTCCTTTTGACTGATCTTGAAACTCCTCAAGTACAGTGTGTTAATGCTGACAGTGTGGTTCTTGTAGTTGGAAGAGGGAAGTGGTTGAGTTATTATTGATAACTACTGGGTATAGATTGGAAAAAATTGGGGAGTGAGGGATAAAAGAGGCGTTGAAGTTCTTCAAGAATTTATGCACTATTCTCCTCACTGGCAAATACACAAAGAGAAGATGAGGCTCAGTCAACTTGAATATGTAATGAATACTATTAACTATCTGTGGAAGTCATTCATATTGTTTAAAATGTGAATTGCTTTGGTGCACCTGATTGGCTCAGTCAATTAAGTGTCTGACTTTGGCTTAGGTCATGATCTCATGGTTGGTGAGTTCAAGCCCCTCATCAGGCTCTGTGCTGACAGTTCAGGGGCTTTTGTGAAGATTAACAATATTGATAATATTTAATTCACTTAAAATAATTCCAGGCACGTAAGCCTTATATGTCCAACGCAGTCTCAAGAAAAGGATTCTTATGAAAGCTGTTATCTTGACTTCAAATTTAGGTTTTGTAAGCATTGATTTCAAAACTGGGGTCATCTAAGATTAGGGATATTTTAGCTAATTTAGGTATTTCCATTTTTTATAAGAAAAAGAAAAAGATATATATACTCACAATGGGATGCACTGATAATTTCCTTTTTTTTTAAATTTTTTCAATCTTATTTCTTTTTTTTTTTTTAATGTTTTATTTATTTCTGAGAGAGAGAGATAGTGTGAGCAAGGGAGGGTCAGAGAGAGAGGGAGACACAGAATCTGAAACAGGCTCCAGGCTCTGAGCTGGCTGTCAGCACAGAGCCTGACACGGGGCTCGAACCCACAAACCATGTGATCCTGCCCTGAGCCGAAGCCGGACGCTTAACGGACTGAACCACCCAGGCGCCCCGATAAAGATTTTCTTTTGTTCCTGTAGTTGTTATTATTGTTGTAATACAATTCCATTTAAAAGCATGTTGATTAGCTCTAATTAGGAACCAATCAGCACATATTAGTAAAAAAATATAATGACATTATTATGTAATCAACACTCATCTGGTAGATGAAAAATTTCAAAATATAAAGGCATAAGGGTAAAAGTACCAGGAGTTCTCGATAGGAAAAAGTCAGGGGGAGTGACTGGGCTCTATTTTTATTAAAAAATAGTAGAAACTTTTGAAAGAGGAAGTTAAAGGTTTCTACAATCCTATTCCCTACGTTATATGCTTAACCTGCAAAGATTAGTTCATTTTCAGTGATTTTTTAAAAAAAAATTTTAATGTTTTATTTATTTCTAGGCGCGAGAGAGAGACAGCGTGAGCAGGGAAGGGTCAGAGAGAGAGAGGGAGACACAGACTCTCAAACGGGCTCCAGGCCCTGAGCTGGCAGTCAGCACAGAGCCCGATGCGGGGCTCGAACCCACGAACCGTGAGATCATGACCTAAGCGAAAGTCGGACGCTTAACCGACTAAGCCACCCAGGCACCCCAGTGATTTTTTTTTTTTTTTTAAATAATGTTATGTACTTAGTTTGGAATAATACCACTAACACCAGAAAAAAAAAACCTTTTTAGTTTTTATTTCAGTAAGATATTGTATGCATTTTACAGTAATTAAATATAGCTATAGTCCATGAATCAGTGGAGAAGATTAACTTTTA